TCGTTGTATGTGTTCGGTTTGTTTTGCTGCTCGGATACAGACACACCCTCACCAGATTTCTTTCATGTCTGACAGTAAAAGTAAAAACAGTAAATTCACACTGGTTACACAATTTGTGGTCGTCTATTTTTGTGTTTTAAAAAGTGTTTGTTCTCACTTGTTCTACACAGACGGATACATGTGTTGTTTGGCAGCGTGTGTGTGTGTGTCCTGGGTATTTTCACTGCCTGTGTTTACAGTTGAAGTGTTGAGGTTGTGTTTATTTGGAGTTATTTGGTGAGGATGTGTGGGCAGACGAGTGCCTGTAGGCGGGAAAACACAATTAATTTAATGAGCATCCATTAAACTGTCTGTTAGAGACTGGAAACCTAACATAGCTGCATACCTCAAATACAACTTATGCATGTCTGTTAATTCATTTCATTCATCATTCCCCATGTTTGTTCTCACTTTTCCATTATGTTTCAGTGAGATCATTATTAAAAACAAAGGAGATTTCAGAACGATGTTTATGTTTGTGCTTGCAAATGGGCAGGGTGTGAGGGTTACTTTAAAAATGTAATCTGTTAAAATTACCTAAAAAGGGTTTTAATCAACCAAATCTGAGCGTAATGTTACCTGATTAGTCTTGGTTACAATAATATCAAATGTAATGAAAATAAATATCAATAAGATGTTTTTACTTAAGTGTCTTATATGTAAGACAGCAGAACAATGTGACCTTAGAGAACAAGAAAACAAGATATTTAGGTTCAAAAATGATTGTATTGATCGTAAAACCTGCCTTTCATGAAGCATATTCGGCCTAGGCAGTAGAAGTATAGACTCACACTTAAAGTATTATCCTACAGAACAGAACAGTTTACGAAATTTGAAAAATATCGGAATTTTGAGGAAAGAAATCAACATTTTGAAAACAGTCTGAATTTTGAAAAATATCGGAATTTGAGAAAAAAACGAAATTTGAGAAAAATTCCCAATTTTGGAGAAAAACAATTCAGTATTTTTAGGAATGAGTCAGAATTTTTGTAAAAAGTGTGATTTTTGTAAAAAGAAAGTGAGCATTTGAGGAAAAAATTAATGTGTAAAAAATCAGAATTTTTAGGAGTATCTCAGATTTTTTCTAAAAAGTGAGATTTGTGTAAAAACATCTGAATTTTAGAAATAAAAAGAAATTGTAAAAAGAAATCTGGATTTTGACAAAGGCGAGAATTTGAGAACATTTATATAAAAAAGTGAGAATATTGAAAAATAAGTCCGAATTTTATGAAAAAAGTGACAATTTTTAAACAAAAATCTAAAGAATACAAAATCTGGATTCTGATAAAAAAATTTAAGAAGATGGTTAGGGCCACGTGTAAAAATAAAAAGAACAGAACAGCTGACAGAAGAAATAACATCTGATCCACTCAAAGTTTTTGAGAAAAAAATCAGGAATTTTTAAAAAAATCAGGAATTTTTGAAAAAATCGAAATGCAAACAAAAAAAACGCATTTCATCCGAAAAAAAATTTAAAGTCTGGAATTTAAGAAAAAATCTGAAATTTGAGATGGAAAAACGAAATTTGTAAAAAC